ACATGCAAGTCTTTTCTGCTATTTTTCACAGTAGTTTCCAGCACTTCATTGCTTCTGTCAAGCCATAGTCCCTCGCCAACAACTGCACCCTTCAGAAACAACTGTCTGCTCTTTGTTACTAGCCAATTTTCTTTCAGGCACCCAAAACCATCATCGTCATCTTCCATGACCGTTCTTCCCTTCGGGTCGCGGAGGCAGACGAGACAGACATTCCTTCCAAGGTTAACGATCCTGTGCCACAGTCTGAGCTTTGGTAGAAGACAGTTGGAGTCTGGAACAGACCCCTTCCATATATCTGCACCAGGTTAATTTTGGCCGTCTCCTATGCCTTCTGTCGGTCGGATTCGCAAGAAACAGTTCCTTAGCTTTTCTTTCTGGAGACATTCGCAACACATGCACAAACCATCGCAGCTGTAACTTCTCAATCTGGAGAGGCAAAGGCTGCATACCAAGGCCCCCCCCTGGATTCTGTCGAGACACGTAAGGCCAGCGACTCGTCTAAGAAAGTCCATCTCAGCAGCTTGTACCCGGGTTCAAAATTTTAAAGTGATGGTCCACGACTCATGACCGTAGGTAAGTATGAGGACAAAGATCGACTTGAATATCGAGAGTTTAGTCCTCAGACTCAACTCTGCTCGAGTCACAATGGGTCGGGCTAGTTCACGCAGAACGCCACTGGTTACTCCAATCAATGTCTTCCTCAAATTTTTCCTCAGCAGTAAGGACGAATCTGAGGTAGTTCAACTCCTCCACTTGCTCCACTGCCTCTCCGTTAATCTGAAGAAAGCAACGGACAGGAGAACGAGAAAGCACTAGGCTTTTCGTTTTAGATGCGTTCACATGCATGCCAGTCACGTCGCACTTGGCGGTCAAAATTTCCATGAAGCTCTAGAGATCAGTTGCAGGCGATGTCACTACAACAAGGTCGTCTTCGTACAACAATTGTCTCACCTTCACCTTTCCTACACTGATGCACTAATCACTTTCGCTGCTCCTGATTATTCTATCCACATACAACACAAATAGGAGAAAGGACAGAACGCAGTCATGGCGGGGAACAGGACTAACTCTGAAAGGCTTCGACTAACTGCCATTTACTCAGACGCAGCACCTGTTATCAGTATATAGTGATTGGATTAACGTAGCAATTGGCCATTGATTTCATATGATCATAGGCATGCCCACAGATCGTTACGCGGGCAGTCATAGGCTTTCTCTAGGTCAACAAATAGGGTATATAGCACATGCGTGAAGTCTGACGATTTCTCAACCACCTGGCGCAGGACAAATATATGGCAAGAGGTGCTTCGACCGAACCGGAAGCCATACTGCTGTTCTTCTACCTTGGAGTTCGTTTTTCCGCGGCACCTTCTTCCTAGCACCTTTGGATAGACATTAAATGGGAGGCTCAATAAAGTAACGCCCCTATAATTGGAGTATTCCTTGTGGTCTCCTTTTGAATACGGGTACAATAACTCCCGTTCTCCAGTACACTGGTGTATTTCTCATAGTCAACGTAGTGTGACAGACATGGGTAAGCCAGAAGCCAGAACATGCCTTGCTAGTCTAATGCTTTGAGCATTTCAGGGCTGATTTCATTAATTCCAGCAGCCATTCCATTTTTCAAGCTTTTTACAACTTGTGTAATTTCATCTACAGAGACAGTAATACCTGTCATATTCTGCTCTACAGGCGAGTCTTCCTGCGGTTGCGCAGAGTTAAGGAGTTCCTCAAAGTACTCCCTCCAACTCCGAAGAATGCCCTCATACTTGGTAAGAGGGTGTCCAGACCTGTAATTCAAGATTTTGAGTCTGCTCTTCTTTTCACCTCGGAGCCGGCAGATGGTCTGCCAGAGTAATCTGTTTGCCGTGAGGAAATTCGACTCCAACACCTCAATAACTTCTCCCAGAAGCCAGCTTTGGCTTTTGCCACTGCTTTCGTTGTCGCCTTGCGTGCCTCGACATATGGCACGCGAATAGAACGCTCCTTGTTTCCAAGCCATTTCTTAAACGCTGCTTTCTTCTCTTTAACTGCCAGTTGTACCTTTCGTGT